AAATCTTATTTGCCTTCAGGACTTTATAGTGGTTTTCTCTCACTCATAATGTATTTGCACTGTCCCACAGACCTTTCATTGCTATGACATTTGACAAAAATCTTAATGGTAAGATATTTCAGTCCCTGGATTCATTTGCAGTGGACCTTGAGTGAATTCTTTTGGAAGCAGTAGGGAGATAGATTGTCTCCATGGTTCAAGGAGATTACCTTTTTGGATGTGTGCTCAATTAAGTACTTCCTGAAATCATAAAAATACTCTGGAGCAAAAGCAAAACAACAACAACAAAAGAAAAACCTTTGTGGAGTTGTTATTGTTTGTTGTCTAGTGAAAGAAGAGTTTAATGAACTATAATCATAAACTGATCATTAGTGCTGCCTGTTAGACTCTTTCTCTTTATTGACACTGAGTGGAACACAAAATACAAAGTTCAAGAGCTTGCAGGTTTAAAATAAAAAAATGATGTTCATTGTATGAAAGGTTCATCTTGCTCTCCAGCTATTCATGTGATGTTTTGTTCCTTGTAATGTTTATAGTATTGCCTTTATGCAGACTTTTTTGTCTGTTTATTTGTTTCTTCCATTTCCAGTTTTGTCTTTTAACTTGTGTTTAGTGTCACAAACTGTGAAAAACACAATCCAAAGTCTCAGTTCTGATCAATTCATACAGCTTACTATACAATTCTCAAAGTTGGGACACACATCCACATCTCTGGAGAGGTCATATGGCCATCACAGCATCCAGAGAAGATACCGTATCTCTGACACAGGGTTAGACCTAGCTACAGGCATACCATTATCTAGTGTACACTATGTTGTAACAGTAGCTTAGTGTGGGGCAACATGTACAACAACTTAACCAGTGTGATGATGCAGGTTATTAAATCATTAGTATTATTTGCCTTGGTCTCCAACACTGTTTTAGCACTGAGGTCGTAGTGAAGGTGTTGTATTGCACTACATTATCTTGAGAGGTGTTTCTAATATTCTGCCCCCTTTGTGTATGTACATGTAAATATGGAACACAGATATTAGAAGTGCCTTTCTGTATAATGTCATCCAGTACAACAATCCATTTAAGTGTGACCACATAAAAAAAAATTACAATTTACAGATTTACCATAACTTCACCAAAAACATATGAGCTTTGTGAAGATAGGCCGCATGTTATGGCAAGGATATTGCACTGGATTGCAATATCACAAGCATTTTTTTTCTGTTTCTTGGCTGAAAAGGATAATTAATCCTGCAGAAACACTGAAGGGCAAACTCAGTAACAGGTGTGTCCAACAACAAAAACACATTACCTGAAGTGACCAGCCTGCAGATCATCTGAGAAGCACCACAGAGAGAAGATGTCTGTGTACATATTGCTCTAACACTGAAAAACAATGTCTTCCAGAGAGGTCACCAAAACAAATTTCAAAGGAAGCATTTCACTGAGGGAGCCTTTCCCATTCGTGCCTTCTGCAGGACTTAGTGACACTTCAGGATCAGATGGTTGCGTCAGGTTTTTATGAACACCTAGTGATTTTTTTTAACCACAAAATAAAAACTCTCATACAACTGTAAACAACCAGAGATGTTGCTGTGTCTTTCTGTGAATAGGACGGTTTCTGTAAGCCTGCAGTTGTGGTAGTGTCGGTGGTGGGGGTAGAGGAGAAGCGGGGGTGGGGTAGAGGGAACCAGTGACATTCTTCAAGGCCATTGTAAGATTAAAGACCCAGGCTGTCGTGCCTCTGATCATATATTCACAAAAGATACCCTGTGAAGAACATATCTTTAAAGAGAGGCTGGTTGAAAATAAGACCGCCACTTGTGAATATTTGTAGCAGCCTATTATACATATCATATAAATGGTCCATTACTGAGTAAGGAGATTACACTCCAGAGAGTTTTTTTTTTTTGTTGCCCTTCTCATTTTCTGTTTGCTCTCTTTTTAGGCACAATCCTATGAGCAGCTGCCTCTAGTGTATAGAGCTTGTCCTCTGATGCGTCATGTACAGAAAAGTCATGAATCCTTCATTTGGATTTAGCTAGGAGACTGCTATCTTTATTTAATTTCATTTATTTGTTTATTTTTGTGATCATTATAATGTTATAGCACTGTGGCACTGAGCTCGAAGAGCACAGATTTAAAAACAAATACTAACAGCCTTGGGCACAATGTGCAACCAGAAGCATTTATGCAGAAATGAAAAATGTCAGTAGTGCTTCCTTCCTTAATATTCCCTATTTCATTGGCACATAACACTGGCCTGTGACTCATGAACATAAAATCAGTGCAAACAATACAGTAAAATGAATAATGATTAATATAAGTTTCATCTTGTGTTTGCTTCAGTTGATGTGGCCTTGGGTCCTTTAATGGTCGTGGCAAAGTGGGAAAATGTAATAGCTTGCTATTCTGCATGTCCTTCAAATAAAATGTTCCCATAATGGATTCTCACTGTTAGCTATATATACATATACTGCACCATAAGCCTTGCCCTTTCTGTATCATGCCGAAGTTCATCAAAAAAAAAAAACAGCTAGAACACAGGATTACAGCCTCTTCACAAGGGCAGTGAATGGCTAAGCTGCTGAGAAGTATTAATATAATAATCAAGTGTTTCAGGCTGCTCTTAATTCAATTGTCTGTCCTAACATTTCCCAGCAATGTCAATCAATGTGCCTGCCTTGTCTTTAAAGCAACAGAGGAATTATCATTCTGGCACCATTAAAACATCAATGTCTCATTTCTGCTAAATGGCAGAGGAAAGATAATTGGCATGTGTGCATGCATATTAATTAACTGATAACGAGACGATAAGGCCCCTCTCTATCTGCAGGTGTGGAGCCACTAATCAATTGGCAGTGAAATGGGGTAAAAATGTGCTTCTTTTATCCCACTACTGAAATTAAAAACCTATTTAGTACCACATTTTCCAACAAAGTGCTTTTCATTTATCTTCTCCAGCACATTATTCAATCACACTTTCCATTTGTATAATGGTAATATTTTCATGTAATTTCCCACTGCCTCTGAGATGAGTATTTTTGATATGGCTTTATGAAATGGCTATTCCATTCCAGTGCCATTCACTTGCTGGTAATAAACTTACAACCTATATTTCAGATTAAATGTCTTCAGCAAATGGAGCCAGCCTCAGATGTCTCACAGCAATTTAGGAAGATCACTTCTGCTCCCTGGTGGCAACAGAGGGAACTGCTTTGCTGTTAGTCATTGCCCCTTGGTGGCAGAGAATGGAAAGTGCTGGAATATCTTTGTAACTCATGGCAGCATGTTGTTGTTTGCAGTATAAAACACCCACTGTCTCTGACTGTCTGAATAAAAAGCAGTAAATGTTTTCTGATATGCATAGGATGCTATGTAGTTAGAGAGGTGCAAGTTACCCACAGCTGACACATAAGCAGACCATCTTAATGCCTTGCTACATTGACCTGCAGCAGAATTTGAAGAGTTTTAAAAGTGTGTTGTAACTATCAGCCTTGACCAGAGGTGTGTGTGAGCTCCAGAGGAGGAGATGAGAATGAACATATAACTGCTGTGAAAATCAAAAAACGGTGCAGGTATAAGGCTGACAATGAATATAAAAGGCAAGACAGGTACACAGTGTTTAAATCAGCAGATTTATTACCAAATGGTTTCTGGAATATGAATATAAGAGCTGGATTTCTTCAGAAGTGGGTGTCTCTTTCAGTATGTGTAGCCCCAATGATACAGAGGTTGATGGACAGTAGTACAGCATCGCCTCCTCTTCCTGAGAGGCTCTCCTTCACCCCGGACAGGCCAACCTGTAACCTGTAGGTACACACCATAACACAGAATCACACTGCCCATCTCTGTCACCACACAACCCATTTGTCATGTCAAATAGCCTCAGAGACACATAGTGGCCAAGTTATAGAGGTGATTGTGTCAGTGTTACCCTGATGCAACAGTCATAAATTGCTTGCTTTACAGGGAGACACTACTGTATCCTAGCTCACTGATAGAAGAGAATGAGTAGACTTCGTCAACTAGTAAAATGGGAAAACATGATGGTGAATAATGTTTAAGATTTTATGTGAAAGGAAAAAGTTTTATGTAACATGTTTCTTACTTTGAGAATAATTGCGGATGAGGTGTAAAGGTGGCACTCAGCTGGAGATCTCCGTTGTTTTGCCTTTGTCTTTGTCTGTTGTTTCACTGCTGTCCTCTGCAGGTGCCTCCTTTGTGGAAGTGGCTGTTTTCAGCTTTTCCTCAGGCTTTTCAGCAGGGTCCATCACTGTAGCGCCCCTGCTTGTGTTGCAACCCATGATTTGACAGAATCTAAGAGTCTACAGTGCACTGTTGAGCTGATGGGAGGCCAGAGGCATATAGAGTATAACAACACCGGTCATAACCTTAAAACCTCTATGAGTGTTGTGGACTCAGCTGCTTTCTTCTCTATAGCAACCTTGAGACTTCCTGTTGTGTTTGGGCACCTGACCTTATGTTATTTCATGAGCCTTTGTCTCCCTATTTGTAATTACCTCCTAAGCAACGCTGGTTGAGAATTAACTGTGTAGCATGCCAAAACATGGTTACTGATAAACACTGAAGGGGACTGCATGTCAGAACTGGGCAGCCATGCTTATGTACTTTCACAAAGTGGATGTGCTGGGAGTTTCTGGTTTCATTCAGTCAGAGAAGCTTAAATGATGGTGAAAAGGTTTTTTCACCACCAAGTGAAAAGGTCAGTCAGTACTTTAAACTGTTAGTGAGACCCTTGGTCACTAAGTACTGTACTGGTGTGCCAAGTAAAATATATTTTATAAAGTTTCTGATTATAATGACTTTATAAAAACAGAGTGCAGCAGAGTGAGACCATGAGACTCAGCCAAAACCAGAGTAAGAAATGAAAATTCATCAGAATCCAAAATGTGAAAACTTTGCCACAGAATAAAGAGAATGTTTTAATGAGTAAAAGTGTAAAGAGAAAGACGAACACAACATTGTCAAAGAAATGTGTTAAATGTGTCTTTATTTGACAGTGACTGCTTTACAAAGACTTTGTGTTTATGAGTTTATGATGACATATGATGAATATGTGATAAGTATTGTAATAAAACATTTAAAATCCCAGACATATTTTAAGACATATTGTCCAATCTCTTGTCTTTTTTTTTAAGTTTTGGTTATCTAGTCAGAAAAGCCCAAAACCATAAATATGCAAAAAAAAAAGTGTAATGCCTGAACACAAACACAAGCTGTGTCACTGAGAGGTCCACGGTTAATGCATGCTCATTAACCACACATACTTTAAGTTTCCACATAACACTTCAAAAAGTTATTTCAACAAGTAATGTTTATGCATGTGTGAGTTAAATTCAAATGTCATTCAATGAAACATTGTCTCTTTGGCAATGAATGTGAAAACAGTCTCGGTCAAACAGTGCATCATTCTGCCCAGTTGACACTCTGTCAGAATTAGCTCGCTATCCTATTGGATCAGCCCTGATATTAAGTAGTAGTATTAAACAGTAATGTATTATTCTTAACAATTCTATCTACATACTTCAAGTATCACTGAATAAAGTTTTATGCTGTTGTAACTTCTGTCTTTATTTTTATGAAGTAGTAAAAAATAATGTTCTTCTGTTTTCAAGTCTCAACTTATTTTTTTTTTATGTCAAATATACTCAAGAAAGTATCACTACAGAATTTAAAAAAACAGGTAAACCACATTAGAGTGACACTGAGCACTAATAGTATCAGAATCTAGACCATGACCTACTTCAAACTCACAACAGCAGACACTTCCACTGACCAGTATGACTACAATCTTCTACCACTGGCTGCTGAGCTGGATTTCCTTATTCAAGGACACCTAGACACTGTTGGTGTAAAAAAAAAAAAAATAGTGTAGAGCAAAAGAGCAAACCAGTGTAGATGTCGCTTTGAGCTGAAAGGACCTGGTCTAAATGAATTCTTGAGCGATACCTGTAAAGGAAGACAGAGCTGCTGACATAAGCCCTTTTCAGACATGCACTGCAGCCCTGAACTTATCTAAACATTACCCTGTAGGTGAAAACGCAAATGTCTGAGTCAGTTGGACAGGACATTAAACAGATTTTACCCTGCCAGCTTTCTAGTACAAAGTTCATGTAATGTCCGATTGAGCCCATGTGTGAACAGAACAGGTTAATGTCTGGATAATTTACACCAAGCTAACTGGTGTACTGATGATGTTTCTATCATGCAACTGACACAAAACTGAACTAAAATGTTTGGATAGTATAAAAAGACAAAGAGATTCTGGAACTTCTGTCATTAAGGTCTGATGCCAAAATTGTCAGACAAATTCAAGAAACAGCAGTGCAGTTTCCACAGTGTATTCTTTGCGTCATGACCTGCCTCCTGCACACTGCCCAGGCACATAAACCAGAGTATTTTCAGCTGGAGAGAACACATCTATCTCCTGCTGTGTGCTACTGAACATGTGTGAAAGGGCAACTGCATGTCTGGACTTGAATCTCCAGACATGTCCAGAGGTCATATGTGAAAACAGTTATAGCTGTTATAGAAACAGGAGCAGAGTGAGACTTCATGCTCCTCTCTAATTCTAGGGCAGGTTAGGCTTTGTAACTGGAGACGACTGGTACTGATCCTGGTTCCTTCTTGTGACACGATCGCTCACCACATTCCTCAGTCGCCTCTGCCAGGCTGACTGGTCTGCCATACGAAGCCTTTTTGCTGAAGGACCATCATCTCCCGCCTCCTCCCCTCTGTCTGGTGACATTGCAGGGCATGGCCTGTTGGGAGACCAGCCTGTTCTGACCATGTTATTGATCTCACGCAGACGCTGTGAAAACAGTAAGGAATTTTTCCGTTAACACTGTACACAGTTTAACTGGTGTAATTTCAAGATGACAATTTGACCAGTGAAAAGCTTTAACATTATGCCCACATACCTCTGGGGGACTTGAACTGAAGTAGTAGGAGAGCGAGGTTTTACAAGGGGAGGTGGTTTCAGGGTCCAACAGTGAAATGAAGATGGGGTGGCTGCTGGACACCTGACGTCTGCGAGGAGATGCTCTCTGCTCTTGGGGGTATGGAGATAAAGGTGGAGTATCAGCCTGCATAAAAGTTAAAAATGTCCAAAATCTCAGAAGATGGAGTGTTACTGTTTATTACAGTATTTTACAATTGAAGGAATTGGATTATAGTAATCTCAGTTTTTCTCCTTTTCCTGCTCAGTTCAGTCAAACTTCAGCAAAATTCATACACCTGAAATGGTTAACTTACACCTGAGGTCGAGGCAAGCTGACCAGCAAAGTCCCGCATCTTTTTCATGTAGACCTCGTTGTAAAAGTAGATAAGATTGCTCCTCTCCTCCCGACAGGATCCTGGATAATGTTTTGATGGTGTGCTGGGGGTCAGGTCACTGCGGTCTCCATTATCTGTAATCACCAATGCAATAAATAACAATGTATAGGAAGGAGCAACATCGCTCTCTAGCTACATAACATCTGGTTTCTGGCTAACCCTAGATATGCTGTATAAAAGGTTTTAGTTAAAGGGAACATGGTGGTGGAGGAGCCAAATGGCAGTCATAAAAAAATGAGAATTTTGTGCAAAATGATGTTAGCATTGTTGATGTGTCAAGCTCTCAATGTACAGAATAATGTACTGATGTTCATGAGGCAGTGTGTGCTTTAATCAGCTTGTTATCCTGTGGCTGCTACTAAATTAGCATTGTTTCAGCAACTTGCATAAAATATCTTATGTCAACCAGCTGATTTATCTCTAGGTAATCGTGTGATGTTCTTATTCCGTTCTGCTACTTCCACATGCAGATGAGTAACTTTTTAA